CTTGGCAGTGGCTGAGTTTATCTTATCTGATCAATGAATTTGTCAGGGGTGACCAACACCACTTATGCATTATGCCTATTCCTCTAGTGCGGCAGACTTATGCAGACAGGCAATTCTATTTCTATCACTAGTTACACACATCTCACCCCTCCATGTAAAACACCCGCGCTTTATTCCTAAGCAGCATACTGCATCAGACTCTTCAGAAGAGAAGAAAGGAAGCTAAGCTGCTCCTCAGCAGTGCCGCTGGTGGGGAAAGACGTGGACGAACCAGCACCGTTGCCGGTGCCAGCGGTCGAGGTGGCAGACGGTCTCACGCTGGTGACCATAGTGGTAGGCGTGCTGGTGACAACGTTGTTTCCAGTGCTGGGAGTGGTGACAGCAATGCTGGCAGTAGAGGTTGGAGCCGAAGAGGAGCCAGACCCAGCGCCGGAGCCGGAGCTGGAGCCGGAGCTGGAAGAACCGGAGCTGGAAGAGCCGGAGCCACCAACGGTGAAGTCAATGCAGGACTCGTAGGTCTGGTCGATCGACTGGGCATACCAGTACCACTGGAGAACACAAGCACCGGCCTCGGAGCACTGGCTGCCCAGGTTGTCGGGGATGGTGACGCTGAAGTTGGTCTCGTCCTTGGAGACACCAGTGGCGGTCGAGGCGTAGTCGGTCCAGGACTTGAGAGTATTGCCAATCACAGTGTTGGTGGCGGTGTCGACGACGGAGACGTTGGCCACACCTGTGTGAGGGGCACGGATGTCAACCACGAAGTCAACGGTCTGGCCGGCGGTGTACGAGTAGACGTTGTCCTTGTTGTCGGCGAACTTGTAACCCTTGCAGAGCCAGATGTCACACTCCCCGGCGGTGTAGTCGCTCTGGCCCTTGGCGACCTGAAGCTCGCCCTGGATGTTGCCGTAGTTGTCGGACTGCTGGTTAATCTCCACCTGGTTACCGCAGGCAGCCTTCATGGCCGGACCGGGCATACGAGGCTTGGGAGAGCTGACAAAACCGTGACCGTGGACCATGGAGACCAGGCCGGCAAGGGCAACAAGTGTTCCGGTTTGCTTCATTGTGCTGATTGTAGGTGTTGGGGATCGAAATGCAGAAAGTATGAGGTTCAGAGAATGTAACAGGTATACCAGTATACCGAACGTGGATCGATCAAGGAGAGTCTTAGCGAAAGGAAGAGAAAGAATGAAATGGTCACAGACCTAACAATCTCAGAAGAAAGAATGTGGAATGAAGCAAGCCTGCGTGCTGAGAGAAGGGGAAGAGAGGAGCAGAGAGCAAGGCAGCCCGAACCAACTCTATATACAACGACCGACAGGACCAACTCCAGGAGTGACGGCCATTCTGAGACACGGCTCTAGACTCAAACAGGGATTCAGGGACAGACTTCATTCCGAAATTTCACCAGTTGCGCCGGCTTACTCCACCGGAAAAGGGTGTTTGTGATCTGTGTCGGTCTTGGAGATGGACATAGCTCGAGGTTGGCACTAGCTTAACCGTTAGCTATCCACTAAGCTTCTAAAAACAAGTCAGAGGGCATCGGAACGCTACCGACCGACTCTCTGGGCGTGGAAAATATCTAAGCAGGCCGAAGCGCCGAAGTGGTTTTGGATAAATTGACATGAAACAAATGGAGACGGCGGTGGATTTGCTTAGGAGCAGCTCCGGGATGCTTGGCACTCTGCGAGTTTCATCTTCATTAAGACCACAGCCCCATGAGAGACAAACCTCATATCGTGCGACGTCTAGCCTTCAATGGCGAATCGGCCTGCTTCCCCAGGCGGAATTATTGGGCCAGAGTTTGTCCTGCTGTAATATCCGTGGGAGGTTCATGACTCGTAGCGTCGTAAACATCAATCTATATGCTTGACGCCTTCACATGCGCTCAGTACGACGACCCACTGGATAACTATGTAAGCGTCAAAAGAGGCATTAGGTCCGTATAGGAGTCTCCACAATTCATGCTGGTTTTATGTTCAAATTTCCTCAATCCTTGATCAATCAATCCACGAATTATATCACACGCAAAAGGGGGTAATGCCACCAATAAGCAAAACGCAGGGGGAATATCCAATGCTCTCATGATCCGCAAAAGTGGTATCGCATCAATTACATCCATCATAATGAAAGCGGCTAGATTGCACCGAAAAGCAAAGTGGGCTCAAGAACGTATCCGTATTTGAAACGAGTCAACCAGAAATGGCCGAGCCTGAAGTAAATCACCCCGATATTAAAGAGTGTGCTGCGTAGGATGTTGGTATGGTCTTGCCTGTTGCTGGTTCTCTGTGGCACCCAGACTGTTGTTGGTTGTGCTGTAGGCATCCGCAAATGGATTCTGTACCTGGAAATCCTCCGACCGGTACTCGTACCGAGCCGCGCTACTACTCACCGGCGCTGCCGTTGGAGGCGCCGCTGACAAAGGAGCCGCCGTTGCAGTGCTCTGCTGCTGCTGCTGCGCCGGCAGCGGTGGTGGTGAGGAGACCGAGGGCGAGGGACTTTGCTCTTGTCGCTGCGGCACAGGGAGCACAGGCAGCGGACGATTGGTACCAGTCGCAGTCGCTCCGTTCGATGAAACGGGTGACTGGCTGCCCGAGTTGCCGGTTGCTTTGCGGGCGCTGAGGAACGCATGCTGGTACTTGGACAACGCGACCGACAGCTCATCATTCGTCTCGATCAAGGTCTGAAGCGTACTCTCGTCCGGTGCGGGATTCGTCGAATGTATATAGTTCTGAATGGCGCGGGATGCCGTCTGGCAACGAGTACAGAATTCCTTGATGAGCTCGTTTCCGTTGAACTCTGTGGGGGGCGTTGACTGAACGAACTGCAGGAGTAACTTGGCCGACGTTTTGGCTTCCGTCACGCGAGCAGCGAGTTCATCTGGCGGTGGTAATGTCGACGCAGGCCGGGCAGAGTTCTGCATGTATGGGTATGCCTGCTGCTGCTGCTGCTGTTGTTGCTGCTGCTGCGATCGTGAAGATCTCCAGGTGCTCTGCCCAACCGCGAACCGTTAGCAATGTATTTCATGACTTCACCATGCCTTGACAAGCGTACCCTACTGTTCTGCCTGCTCAGTTTACTTTTCTCCTTCTTCCACATCTGCATCAGCGGCGCTAGATCCTCGTCCCACTGTCGCTGCGACTCGATGGCATCCAGCGTTTCCCGCAGGAAGTGTTGCACGTTGAGGTCCCACCCATCACGCAGGAGATCTTTTATCGTAGCTACGAACTTGGCATCAATGTTGCGTGTAAAAGTGTGGCCCGGATTGTCGATAAGTATGCGCATTAGCATAATCGCATTGTATTGGATCTGGGATGGAGTCGAGGCTGGATCAGACAGGTATTTGCGAAGTCGCTGGGCAGCCTCTCTGGCGGCATTGGGGCTGGACTCTGCGCTTTCGACTATGGCAGGCAGGTGAACGAATTCGTTCCCTTGCTATGCGACCAGGATATTAGCGATGTTATGCAATGGCGGCGCGGTTGGTGAGCCTAATGAGCCAACGTACTCGGTTGTCTTGCTGTCCCCCGCTCTCGCAGAAATCTTTCTGTAATCCCCAGTCGTCGCATTAGTGATTATTCGATATTTGACGTCATTCGAACGATAATTCCGAGGGTCGCACGTACCACTGCTTTCAGAATCGTTCCCTCGGGCGAGTCATCCGGGTACTCCGAAGGGCTGTTGAGCGATGGGCCTATTTCTAATGAGCGTTCTGGGGTAAACAAGGGTCCATAGACGGGGCGGATGGGGACTCACTCGAGCGCTTGCTGAGAGAACCAAATATGCGCTTCATTATATAGAACGCGTGAAAACGAGATTTACAACAAAAATCACTCGCAGAATATAGTGGTATGACAAGAGGGGAGGGAAAGGAGACAGACTGGCTAGATAAACACCAGCGCAGCTGACAACCCAACTAGGTAAAAAGTAGCTTTAGTACGGAGAGGTCTAGGCAGTACCTCTGTGCGGAAGGCAGAAATGCAAATCTCCGATGTGCCTGGAGCATAATCAGGACCATTAACCATAATTATAACCACGAGCCACAATCCATAGTCTGAAATATAAGGTTAGGTAGGCCCGAGTTGGCAGTGGCAATGTGCGTCAAGGACACGCAAGCCAACTTTTCTGTTCTCTGGCGGATGAGTATTCAATATCAGTCCTCGGTCCATCCGTCGCAAGGCAGTTATTCTTCCACAATATCGTCTGAGCTGGTAATCAAGTGAGTAGTACACTTCATACGTATGCATATCGGAATTAAGAGTCTTACTCCACCAGCCCGCGATGAGCTATTTGTTGAACCAGTTTAAGCTCCGCATCGAATGCTATGTTCTGGTTGAAAAAGACAAGCAGAGCAGCACCGCCACGCTTGGCTCTCAAGGCATCAATGATATGTTGCAGAAGCTGACGAATGTCGCCGTTCTTTGGTCAAGCACCTATGGCTGGTGATGGGTTTTGAGTTCACCATCATGTTTAACCTTTGGACTACAAGAGATAAGCGAAAGTTTCATGTTGTTACACTGTAGAGTCTAATGGTCTGGATTCGAGTAGTCTCGAAACATCAAGGAAAGATTGGTAAGTATCAAGGAAAAGATGAATCCGTATCCCGTTCATGAAATAACGCTCGACATGATCTCGAAATATATGAGAGAAGGTCCGGGCTGGTTGTACCAAGACGAAAAACCGATCATCAACCGATTGCCAGATGAGAACCTCAGTTACTCAATCCCAGCCTCGAAACGTGGAACAAAGACAGAAGCACAAAAAATGAATCAGACCTGTCCAAGGTCAACGCTGACGGACCCTCCACGAGGTGTCCCTAGCCTATGTCTTTTGTCTCATGCTCAGCGCCCGTTTGGTTTCGAATTTTTTCGTTTTATTCAGAAGATAGAATAATGGAAGTTCTTTTGCATTCCTTTCCGTGACCAGGTATTTGTTCCGTACAACAGCAAACTCCGGCTTCCCATTCATTTTCCGACTACCCTAACCCCCCGACATCTACAGCCCGCTTACGCCTCGATGAGGGCACGGCGGATCTGAGTACCACGCTGGCGGGAGCTGAGGTGGGCCTCGCGCTTGACAACGGACGCCTTCTGGACAGTCTCCTCACCCTCGGTAAGGATGAGCTCGATGTGGCAGGGGTTGGTCATGTAGGGGTTGATCTAGACTCCGAGTTAGTCTCATTGGTAGATTTTCAGCTGTGGAACGTAGGTCAACATACACGACCGTGAGCACGGTAGGTGCGTCTCCGGCCCTTGGGAGCCTGGTTGACCTGGATGTGCTTGACAACAAGGTTGCCAGTGTCGAGACCCTTGGTGTCGGCGTTGGCCTCAGCGTTCTTCAGGAGGTCGAGGAGGAACTGAGCGGACTTGACGGGCCAGCGAGCCTTGCTGACACCCCACTGCTTGCCTGTAATACAGTCAGCATTTGATTTCAATATGTTCCCCCAAATGATCATCAATCTGTATTCCATGCACAACGCCTTAAAACGCAACCTCGTCGTCTCTTCGCGAAAACCATAAGGCTGTCCTCACAACCCCGAAATCGATGACCTCCGCTTAAAGGGATAAAGAAATTGTCGACACTCACCCTGAGCGGTGCGACCAATGCTGCCAGCGTACCGCCGGAAGGGAACAACCTCGGTCTTGGTCTTGACGTTCTCGAGGAAGGTAAGGGCGCGCTGCAACTTCATGCCGTTGATGGCCTGAGCGGTCTCACGGGTGTTCTTGAAGCTGACACGCAGGTAAGAGCCCCGGGCGCGGGCGCTCTTTGCGGCCGGAATGTCCTGAGCAGCGTAACGGACCTGATGCAAACAAAGACCCAACATCAGCAAAAACCATGTCCTATTCCCATTTCCTTCACGAGGCGTAAAACGGAGGGAAAACGATGGCGTCGGTAGGATTCAATTTTTCGGATTTTTTTCTTTTCGTGAACAGGGCATAGCCAGGAACGACACAGGTAAAAGTCGAACATCGCCGGTGCAACAGGAAATGTGTATTTCCTCAACTCTTGCCGTCTGCATTTTTTTCGCCTTTCGATCCTTTCCTTCGCCATCGTTTCCGTCGTCTTGAATAATATCAAAAACACTCACCATCTTGATGCGGTTGCCGAGCGGGGTGGTCCTCGATGTCGGATGAGAAGTTTTGTCGCTTTGCTTTGGTCGGCCGCTGGAATCTTGAGATCGCGAAGCTCGCTCGTTGTGGTGCGCTTTTTCGCTCTTGGCGCCCGCACGCCCTAAGCGAGCCCTAACACTAGGCCCAGTCCGGTAGTTAAATCACTCACCGCCCGGCAGATGAGAACATCAATACTCCCTTAGCTCTCTGTATCTCTCTCACTCGTTGCTCGTTATTATGGTTATAGGTATAGGGAAATGGTTATCTATAAAATGTGCATTGCTCTATTTAGGAGAAAATAGTGTCTATCAGATCATCAATCACCTTCCATTCTGCCCCTTGAAAATATCCTTCTGCTCCGGCACCAATGTGATCATCTCGCCCTTCTCCACCGCCGAGCGCAAGTTGTTCAAGACCAACAGCTCCATTTCCTTCTGTGTCTCATAGGTCGCGGTTCCAATATGTGGTAGCAGCATCACGCGGGGGTTATTTACAAGTCCAGGTTCTATCTCGGGCTCGTTCTCATACACGTCCAAACCAGCGGACATGACCTGTTGCATATCGTTACTACCCATAACTCAGGAGGGATAGGATGGAGCTTACCTTGCCGGAATCCAAAGCGGCGACCAGAGCCTTTTCGTCAATCAAAGCACCACGAGCCGTGTTCACAATGACCACACCGTCTTTCATCTTCTGGAACTCCTTCTCGCCAATGATATGGCGAGTCTTGGCATTAAGGGCGAGGTTCAGGCTGAGGACATCCGCATTCGCTAGCAACTCATCAAACGAGACATACTGCGCATCCCCCTCAAGCTCTGGTGAGAGTCTCGACCTGTTGTGGTATTGTATCTTCATTCCGAAAGCTCGTGCACGATTGGCCATTTCCTATTGCAAGGAAATCAGCTGCGGATCGCTGCTGTGACTTGAAAGAACAGGGCTTACCCTTCCGATTCCTCCCATCCCGAGAATACCAAGCACCTTGCCCTGAGGGTCGTGCCCAAGCGTAGTCTTTCCCTGCCATTGACCTATGGAAATTGTCAATTTTCACAGTTTCGTAGAATTGAACGGCAGAAAACTAACCAGCGCGGAGAGCTGATAAGGGGATATAAGCTTGGCGCAAAGCGCCAATCATGAGGAAGATGCCTACGTCGGCTGTTGCGTGGTTAACAGCGACTGGGGTACTGGAGACAGCAATTCCTGTACTTTATCAGCTTTTCTGGTTTCTGTATTGAGAAATCATGTATGGTCGCACCCTTCTCTGAACAGGCCGGGATGTCAATGTTGTCATAGCCAGCTCCATTGTGGCAGATATACTTTAATGACTTGGGAAGGACCGAGAGCAACTCTGCGTCGAATGGACCAGTGAACTGAGCTCAGTTAGTAAGTAGACAATTATCGTCCCGTTCCACTGCCATGTTTACCTTGGTAGACGCATTGGATCGGTAAATCACTACCACATCGTCGTACTGGCCTTCTTTGCAATTCCGGATGAACTCGTCTCTGGTGCCTTCGGGAAATTCCTTCAACGCTATATTAGAGACGACACTCTACCAGACCACGATCGCAAGCTCACCTTAAGAGTCAGGATGGACGAGAGATCTTCCCATTCCTTTCTAGCGTGCGTGATCGCACCGATGAGTAGAGCTGAGGGCATGATGTCAGAGTTGGAGAGCGGGGTGAGAGCTCTTATCGCGGTGTAAGAAGAATTCAACGTTCAAGAACAGAGCGCAGGGAGGGACAAAGCACTTGGGAAGAGAAGAAAGAAGAAAGGGAGGTACGCAAAGAGATGATTGAAAGGGTTCACCTGACCAGTATCTGGACCTCTGATCATGTTTATTTGATATTGTTTCTTGACTTGATCTTGGTTATCATTTCCCGGAGCTCCTCCATATTGCGTGGGGGTCACCAGCATTACAGCACGGTATTATTACATCAATCGATACATCAATACATTGGATACAAAAGTATTTACGATACAGCGAGACTCGGACATTATTTGCGCCAGGTGCAGAAGAAGCGAGAAAAGATCCTGGCTAACATTCAGATAGAGTGAAATAGAGTGAGGAAGCTATCTATAAGTCGCTGATGCAGAAGAGTTGCCTTTAAATTCAGGATACTCCCGACTGTGGTGTTCTTAAATACAGCATGTTATGTTGGTAATATTTGTTGTCGGCTATTGAAAATCGGTTCAATTCCCGCTGCGGAGCAAATCCGGTATGACCCCACGTTATTCAATGGCCGACGAGGGGAAAGAGATGAATAACTGATGATGCTTCGGAATCATCCGTGATAACTCTTCTGCCATGAGCAATGAGATGAGAACTTTTCTCTTCCAAGGTCCCTCCTGATCCCATCAACAAGGACATTTCAACAAGCACCATGACCACCACAACCACCACTACAGCGCTCGTCCTCCACGGCGCCAAAGATCTCCGCCTGGTATGTAACAACTTTTTTGTCCTCATACAAACAGCCCGATAATAACACAGCGTCCAGGAATCACGACCCATCTCCCCTCCCACCGGCTCCGAAGTCCAGGTCGCCATCCGCGCAACCGGTCTCTGCGGCTCTGACCTCCACTACTACAACCACGGCCGCAATGGCGACTTCGTCGTGCGCGAGCCCATGTGCCTCGGCCACGAATCCTCCGGCACCGTCACAGCCCTCGGACCAGACGTGACAACCCTGCAGGTCGGCGACCGAGTCGCCCTCGAAGTCGGACTCCCCTGCCGCAAGTGCACCCTCTGCCGCACCGGCCGCTACAACATCTGCCCGGACATGAAGTTCCGCAGCAGCGCCAAGCTCTTCCCCCATCTCGACGGCACCCTCATGGAACTCACCAACCACCCCGCCGACCTCTGCCACAAGCTCCCCGCGAACGTCTCCTACGCCGGCGGCGCCCTCGTTGAGCCCCTCGCCGTCTGCCTGCACGCCATTCGCCGCTCGCACCCGCCCACACCCGCCGAAGTGGAACTGGCCACCGCACAAGGCGACCAGACCGCCGCGCTGATCTTCGGCGCAGGAGCTATCGGCCTCCTCCTCGCGGCTGCGCTAGCCGCCTCGCAGCCCTTCACCTCCATTGTCGTGGCGGACATCGACCCCGCGCGCCTGGAGATCGCAAACTCCCTCAACCTAGGCCTGAAGACCCATCTCCTCCCCAAGGGCGGCGACAAGGCTAACCCGCCGCCTGCGCCGGACGCCCCTGCCGCAGAGCACACCGCCTACGCCATGCAGAATGCCCAGCGGACCGCAGCGGCGCTGAAAGAAGCATACGGGCTTGCGTCGGGATTTGCGCGTGTGTACGAGTGTACGGGAGTGCCGGCGTGCGTGCAGGCGGGGATCTACGCTGCAAGCCCCGGCGCCGTCCTGGTGCAGATCGGGATGGGGAATCCCATCCAGACGCTGCCGGTGAGCGCGGCGGCGCTCCGGGAGGTGGATATCATCGGCACGTTCCGGTATGATGGCCATGCATATCCGGCAGCGATTGAGTTGATGGCTAGTGGGAAGCTTGAGTATGTGGAGAAGCAGGTTGTTACCCATCGGGTCAAACTTGAGGATGGGAGTCGGGCGTTTGCTCTGGCGGGGAAGGGAGTGGATGAGACGGGAAGGCCGGTGGTCAAGGTTGTCATTGAAAGCTAGATTTGATTTTGGTTCCGTGTTCGTCCGGCGATGGATACCCTGTTTGTAAAACGACGACTCGATATCGGTGGCACGAGGAGCAAGCGTAACTTACGCGCTGCACATGTGGCATATGTAGAGGATTTAAGGCATGTACTTGCATGATTGATTTCCTTATATGAAAAGTATTCACTAGCAGTGCATCTACTTTAAACCACCTGCCAGCAGCAAACTCTGGCCAGTCATGTAGCCCGTCGTTACGAGCATGCTCACAACATTAGCCACTTCGTCAGGGGTACCCAGTCGACCAAGTGGAATGCCCGCTGCGACGTCAGGGATGGCTTGAGCGCTGGGTATCATGCCAGTGTCGCCAATCATAGCCGGCGCCACGTCATTGACGCTGATATTATATTCAGCCAGTCGAGTCGCGAGATTCTTCATCATGCCAGTCATCCCGCCTTTCGAAGCGGCATAGTCTATTGATAAGGGTCAGTTGTCTGAAGTTCAGGTCGAGGACAGAGGCTTAGAGACACTTACGACATCCATTGATTCCGCCGCCATATCCAGCAATCGAGGACATAAAGACGATCCGACCCCATCGCTGCTCCCTCATATGGTCGACAACCCCCTTCACCAGGATAAAGGAAGCTCGCAGATTCACGTTGATGGTATAGTCAAACTCTTCCAGTGAGATATCCCACACCTGTGGGATGCGGTTGCCGTAGCCTGCGTTGGAGACAAGAATGTCCGGTCGCTGTCCGTGCTCCTTGTCAATCTGTGCGAACATGGTCTGGATCTGCTCTGCAGACGCAACGTCAACCTGGTGGATTGAAATGCGAAGTGCATCGGCGCCATCTGCTGCCGGTTGGCTGGATCTAAGCTCCTTTACAAGAGCACTCATTGCCTCGAGGTTGGTAGAGTACGTCAAGGCGAGATGGACTCCTTTCTGGGCCAGTTGACGAGCACATGCTGCTCCGATCCTAGCGAAAGAGTCAGTACTAGAGACGACTACAAAGCGGATAAAGAGATGCTCACCCTCCAGATGCCCCAGTGATGAGGGCCAATCGACCGCGTACCTCATTCAACTGCGCCATTGGTAAATAGTATCAGAGTGACAATATGATCTGCACCGTTGAGAACCAGAGCCAGGCTATAGAACAACCCTTTGATACTCGGGGGAGAAGACGACGAGCAATGCTCCGCCCCTCGGCTACCCACTTGCAGCTGTTTGCTTCCTCGGAGCAACCTCCGAGTGAGCGCGTATCAATGCCCCGCAGCCCCGCATCAACAGTGTGGGGGTGACAATGTCTCGGAGGTGAGCTGGGAGCACACGGAAAATCAGAACTTTACAGTTCCTGGACTATGCTACCCACGCCACAATAAGACTGAGTTTGCTGTTCGTCAAGTCTGGACCGGCACAGAATATGTGAGTAACGCATTCCCGAAGCATGCTTTCTAAAACAAAAGGTTGCCAGCCATGTCTCCGGCCCAGGGTGACATCTGCCACGGCTGAGAACGGTCCTGCCCTGATTGATACAAATCAGGCTCTTGTTGGAATGCATCAAACGCTAGAGTACCCGTTCCTGGCATTTGGTCTCCAGATACAAAGTCTCCAACTGCTTCAAGATCCAGCCATGAAAAGTCATTGGCAGGACTGAAATGCACATGATTACTTTGCTCCGGCAGGCGATTGAGGGTGCTCTGCATCAAGAGATCACTGCTTCGATGGGTTGCCGTGGGGGAGAGTGCAGGGGTAGGTTTGGACTGCCACAAGAGCTCCAAGAGCCGTGCATATCGAGCCCCAATATCATCGGGCCCGGCACTTGCTCGCTTCAGGACTTCGGTGGTGCGAGTGACCAGTTCTCGCACCTTCATCTCCTCCGAGTTCAGCATCACACCGAACGAACGCGCCTACCAAGGGTCAGTTCATACTCGAATCGTTTGGACGACCATCCCACCTTATATAAGAAGACCGCTGCATAGATTCCGTACAGGTAAAACCTCAGAGGCATGAAATGCAAGTGCTTTTCCGGATGCACTTCGTCAACAAGTATAATCAGATACGCCTTCGCAGCATCCACAGACTCGTAAATGAAGCGCGCATCCTGCATTGATGCCACATTGTTGAAGGTCGCGCGCAAATGCTCCCTTTGCGGTTGATTGTTGTTTTTATGCTTGGAGACGAGTGACTGGGAGATGGCGGCTTGGAATGCAAATGCGTTCGTATAGAGCCTCAGATACTCGTATGACAGCTGCAACGTGGCTCGCATCGGTGTGGAACCTGCAAATGCGTAAGTCATTGACAGCGCAAGCATATAGGGTCAAAACCATACAGGGTAGCGAGCCCCAGCGGGACTTCCAACGGAGAATAGCAAGGCGAAAATCGTCGACGTATTTCACGTAGTCGCCCATGAGCATCATTTGATTGCTGGTCCGCATCCCGGAGTAGAGTACATCGTGAACGTTGTTATAGAGTTGTGTAAGATCCAGTGTCGCTTGGAAAATCTTTGCATAATCTTCTTCGTCGCTCTTGACAGGTTGTAGAGATGGGAAATCCTGGCTGACAAGGCCCGTCATTGGTCCTGGACCTCGCGACCAGAAAGCCCGCCCGATACGGACAGAAATCAGCCGGTCGGAGATGTAGCAGCAGGTCCACGCCAGTCGCCTGCGGGCTTCTGGTTCCGTATCTCCAGAAGCATCCCCTCGAAAAGACGTGCGGTCCAATCCGAGGAAATAGCCCGATCGCAAAGCAAGCCCGACATGCATCCAAGCGGCTCGGTCCTCCTCGCCACGCCCAACTCGCTCGATCCGCGGTCGAAGACCCTGAGGTTCCCACTCGGCGAGGAGGAGTAGCGCCTCGACGGCCTCCACATCGCAGTCGGCACCGGCAGCAATGCCGGAGATGAGCTCATGCATGTACTTGGAGCAGTATTCGTGGATCTCCGGCCGTTCGACCAGGTCTTTGGAGGCAATGGTCAGCACCGCGGTCAACAAGTGTTTCTCGTTCGTGGCGAACGCGTCGAGCGCGTTGCGATCAAAGTATTTTCGCGGCACCAGGGGAAGGTAGGGATGAAAATTCTCGGCGTAACGAGCCACAAGCTGCCACACTGTTCCTGGGTCCAGAGACCTAGTCTGTACCAGCCTGTAGGCTTTGATGCCACTGGTCGGATGAAAATCCGTAGCTGCGCCGTTCTGAAATGCCGAGAATGATGGGAATCCGTTTGGACCAGGACGTGCAGATTCGGTGTGGGGTTCTGAACTCAAGTCATCGGTGCTTCTTTTCGCTATGCCTGTGAGGCATTGCCAGGCGTCTGACGGATTTCGCGGTACAGAACCGATGGAAGCTGTATCTTCATCATCCTCTGAAACAGCAACTGTCGCTGGAGGGTTCGGCTGCACAAAGACAACTGGGTTGGAGTACGAAGTTGATGCATTCGGACGGCTATCTGTGGTGGATGGGCTGATTGCGTCCATCAGTGGTTCTATTCTCGTGGACAAGTCAGTGCCGGAGGTGAAATTTTTCATCTTGTTTTTGCGAATACGGCGTCCCCCTCGGTTTGAACCTCCAAGGACACATTCGCGGTTGTCTCGAATACACCGCTGACACGGTGGTACCCCGGGACTGCCACTGCTGTCCCTATTCACACGTTAGCGCGGTGGAATAGAGGACTTAGAACAGACGAAAGTCCTCTGGTCGATGCGGCATGCGGGTGGGAACATACAGATCGCACTTGGATTTACGCTGTCGACAGTGCAAACAGGCTCTTGATACGCGCTTCGCTGAAGAGTCGGAGCGCGATTTACGCCTCGACCCTAAGGTGTCTGCCAGCTGAGGAGACTGTTCGTCTCGTTCCATTGCTGCTCAAATGCCACAGATTCAGGTCAGAATGTGAAAATTTCGTAGCAATAGCACATGAGCCTCATTTTTCTCATCATTGACGTGGTGCTGGCGAGGCTTGGCATTCGAACGCGTTCATTAGAGGTAAATGCGGTTCAATGTACTGGTTCGAGATGGTGAAAAGGACTGTCGCCTTTGGACCCTGAACGCGGTGTACTGTCAAACTATTGACAGACAAATGGACATTAGATGAAAATCCAGCAAAGGTTGATGTTGCCAGGACGAAGCTCAACGGCCCATATTTACCCTGGAAGTTCTGGCCGTCAAGGCACGAGCGCCTTGACCCACAATATGGGATTTAGACTTCGATCACTTGATGAGAGCAACTGGAGCAGATTCCCTGCGTCCTTGAGCACTTATTCACGAATGATATTGACGGGTTTGAAGGGCAAAATGATATCTGGGGTAGATGATTCGTGGCCCGTATACGGTACAGGTTGCGAGCGGCAACTTCATTACCGGGGTTGTGAACGTAAGTTTGGGGGTCGTTGTATGAAAGGGTAATACGATATGCTAGTTACCTAGGAACCTCCCTCTCCGACTTCAGGGCCTCTGGCAAAGATGTTTTGAGAATTGACAGACACGACCGAACAGACTGGTGAAGGATCAGGGTTTTGTGTCTATCGTACCTCTGGCATCTACCTAGGAGTCGTTCACTGAACATAGGTTGCGGCGATTGAGATCATCTTTCTCCACGGTCAAGGCTCAGTATTTGTCAAAGCATATTGTGGCATCCAATATCTTTCTTTACTACAGTTCCCGCCCACATCTGAAATATGGAGAGACATGGCTCCCTCAATTCTACGTCTCGATCGCCGTCCACTGAACGCATGCGACGTGACTTTGATTGCATTGTTCGAAGGCGATTACACCCCAGATTCAGGTCTTGTCAGCATACAGTAACAATACGAGCCACGTGCTTTGTACCTAGCTGTTCAGGGCAGGTTCAATAGCCGACGGTGGACCAGCAGTAACTGGCGGCAACGGCTGTATCCCTTTTGGGCAACAGGTGGGATTGCCCCCGCATGTGGGGGATAGGAATGAGCAACGCAGCAGGCTGATATTTATGGTCATGGAGCCTCATAGGTTGTGATGGTGAAGTCCATAAGAGAACTTTTCCGAAGCAAGCGATCGCTGTCATTGATCATATTTCTCAGGACCTTTCGTCCTACCAATCTTCACAGGAGCATTGACAGCACAAGAATATATAGTCGCTTCGATCTCCGGCATCTCCTCATCAATCAACATCGATTTACAAAGAGTCGAAACCTCAGTTTACCCAATTCTCTTACAATAACCCAGTGCAATCGTCAGAATGTCGGCAACTGTTGCTTCATTATTTTCTTTGAGCGGAAAGACCGCGATTGTGACGGGTGGGACGAGGGGTATCGGTCAGGCAATGGCTATTGCCCTTGCTGAAGCTGGTGCGGATGTTATACTGATCCAGGTATGAGCACTAGACTTAACTTTGCTTTTAGCTCGGCAAGTGATACAATATGTGTGACAGGGAGTACTGATCGGTATCATGTAGAGAGACGAATCAAACACGTCAACCCGCGACGAAATTGTCAATCGAGTTGGTCGAAAAGCTTGGATTCATGTGGCCGAGTTGTCGAAACGAGAAGAAGTCAAGAAAATCATTCCAGCAGTAACCAGCCAAGGACTGAAGCCCGAGATTCTCCTCAACTGTGCTGGCATTCAAAGAAGACACCCTAGTGAGAAGTTTCCTGACGAGGATTGGGACGAGGTGTGTGAGACCTTCCCCTGGTTCTTGATCGTTCAGAAGCTTATTGCGTCTACGAAACCCCTTAGGTTATTGAAGTAAACTTGACCTCTGTGTTTACACTGTGCCGTGAATTCGGAGCCTACCTATTGGCTCGGGATGTGTCTGAATTTCCTTCCGGCCGCCGTGGTTCCATCATCAATGTTGCATCGCTTCTTTCTTTCCAGGGTGGCATCACCGTTCCGGCATATGCAGCCTCGAAAGGCGGCATTGCACAATTAACCAAGGCCCTGTCCAACGAGTGGGCCAGCAAGGGTATCAATGTGAACGCCATCGCTCCTGGGTACATTGACACGGACATGAACGTCGCCTTGATCAATGACGCCAATCGGAACGCTGGCATCATGGCCAGAATCCCAGCTGGCCGATGGGGGAAGCCGGAAGATTTCAAGGGTGTTATTGTCTTCTTGGCGAGCCAAGCGAGCAACTATGTTTCAGGTGAAGTGGTCTGCGTTGACGGAGGTTGGATGGGCCGATAAATGGTATCGCGAACATTGGCTCTTCCTGAATGTCATTGTGTTAATAATAGATAACACAGAAATGATGGCAAGACTCGGACTATTATTCCATAGTTAGCTCACTGAGAGCTCTATCTCCGTAAAGCCGGTCAGGTCACCTTTGCTCTAGCGTGTTATACCACACCTGGCTTTTGGCCATGGTCGTGAATAGATTTAGTGTCCCATAGCCGGTGTCTGGGCGCTTCCGAGAGGTTCCAAAATGGAGATGCCTGGACCATCATGTGGTGACAGTGACACTGTATCCATTCGCAATCTAGCCAGGTATGGGCCGTTGACTTGTCATATTGAAGCAGACCCGTTTTCTCCGAATCGAGGCCCCCTTGACAAGAGACTCTGGGACTTGGCAACAATAATCATGGCCTGAATTATCTGAATAGACACATAATAATTAGTCTAATAGGAAACGAAAGGGAATGACTCGAATGAGACATGCCATGAGGAATAGATTAAACTATTGCTTCTAGTGAGACACCCATGTCTCACGTGACTACCATCTGGAAAAGACTCGGTAGAGAGATAATGGTACTTTCTTCTGGTAAGCGAGGAAATTAACTAACTACGGCAGCCACTCTCATTTAGGCTGTTTCATCTCGAGGCAATAGAAAGTAGAAGGGAATAGGCGAACGAATTTCCTTCCTGGCCCGAGCTCCTGTCAGCCAGCCGTTGAAGAACAAAGCAAGACCGGAATATTATTGGGTGTGTCACTATTAAGCCAGTAGCCAACAGTCCAATATGAGCGGAGTTTTCAGGGTGGGCTCCCCCAATATGAAACAACTCTATGGACACCCTATGACCAATCTGTTAATGATATGGTCTTTCACTTGGCACATATCCACTCCATGTGGCCAATTTAGCAAGTCTACTGGTGAATGACCAGAGCACAAGCTGTGAATTGCTGCTGAAGAGGGGCTGGGCGCGTCCAGCTCAGCGCCTCGCCTCCTACAGATTGATTGTTGGATTGATCAATTTGTATGGCCGCCGATGCGCTGTCGGTCGGACATCCTCTGCAAGGGCGCTTCCTGTGCTCATCGTTATCGCCCATCAGCGACCTAAAATTCAGATTTTCCGGATCAAAGGGAGCCCAAGGAACATTGGATATCAGGACAGGCACGATGATTCGCCTATTTCTCTCGAAAATTGGCTTGGCTTTGGATAGGAACTGCTCTCTCCCAAGACCACGCCATTATTTGCCTTGATATGGGGCCTCACCCACCCCTTCACTTGTGTTTCAGAATGACAGCTCTGCAGGACAGTCTGCTTTCTTGCTTTGGATTTTTCCGAGCTTTCTCTTCTTTTCCCAAATTGCCGTGTGGATCTTCTCTTGAGATCAGGATAGCATTTCCCCTCGGGTTCTTTTTTCCTGTTGATTCAGGTTGTCTTCGTTTATTAGCATTCGATATTCACTGTTCCGCTTCAGCTGGCTCTGATCGTCGCATCAGTAGGAGATCTGCAGTTCATTCCACTCAATACCATTTCTATTCATTGTCGAACCTCTTGGCAGGTTCTTTCTTTTCATCAGAGACACACTTTTGCTTGAGCCTCTGTTGTCTCCTTTCGTTCCTTATTTGTCGATCACTACCTGTCTCAGAACTCATCGCTTTGCATCAAAACTGCAAACAAGGGTCTGCAATCTGTTGGAGGATCGACGTCACCGATCGTTGAATACTTTATGACGCTGAGCGTCTTCTAAGCTTCTGCTGAATACTTCTGCGGACGATCATGCACTTGGGAGGTGAGTGTCATTGGGATCTCGAAGGCTGGCATATCATCGACGTCTTTGACGGCATAGTCAGAGACCGTTCGTGTCTCTGATTCTGTGATGCTTGTCGCCTGTGAGATGAGACGTCGAGTTCAGATGTCATAGCTAGGGTATTGACATTCTTTGGCTTTGTTAGACACGGTTGTCCTTGAGGATCTTCTTTGTCCGCTTTCCAATTGAAACAATCACCATTGTTCGATCTGTGCCATATTGTCGCCAGCACGCAGTGGTTTACTCTGAGAGAGCCACCCAGGACGTCGTTCTTTTTAACCCCAAGTATTTTTTGTTCTCGTTGGTGCACTCGCAGGGTCTTTGTCGTTCGTCAGCTTCGATCGTCTCGACCATCGTAGTCGCTTCGTACAGCTTTCCTGGTCTCCGCATTCCTGTCGTTTCCCAGCCATCAAAGAATTTACATCATTGGACGGCATTTGAACTGCGTAAAAACTGCATTGACTGCTCTCGACTCTTCCTGGCTGAAGAGTCTCTTCACATCCACACTCTTTTCTGTTTGACTGATTTCAGCTCCTCGTCGTCGGACTACAGGACCACTCCCGACTCCGGCTTATCCAGTCCTTCCCATGGATGACCTTCACCAACGCATCACTCCCCGCAGTCATGGGATAAACACTACCTATGTTTACGAGTACTCGAGAGGCCTTGGTGGGGTCAATGTTCCCAGAGATGTCATAATCACGCGTGTCATCTACTGGTCTGTCATCATCGGAGCCTTGGTTGTTTTCTGCGGCCGGATTGCCCAGATCAGCCATGCCTACCTGCGACATATTACCTCCTTGACGGCCAGTCAAAGACAGCAAAAGTTCTGGAGTGTCGAGGAGTCACGCTTGTGGGCAAATATTAAGAAACATATTCTCTATGCACCTCTGGGTCGCAAAAGACACAATCGGGAAATCCAGCTCTCCTCGGCCATCAATGTGGGTACCTTGCCCTCGAGGTTTCACTCGATCCTGATTCTGCTGTATGTGGCAAGTCAGGTGGCTTATTGCTGCTTTTTGGATTATGCTGTGAACGAGAAAGCGGCTCTCGTGGCCGAGCTTCGTGGCCGGTCCGGCGTTCTGGCCATCCTGAACATGGTGCCTCTGTTCCTCCTCGCGGGTCGCAACAATCCCCTGATCCCACTCTTGCACATCAGTTTCGATACCTACAATCTTTTGCATCGATGGCTGGGCCGTATCGTGGTACTCGAGAGCGTGGTCCACACAGCGGCTTGGGCGATCAATGCGTGCGACGAAGAAGACTTCTCTCGCATGCTGGTACGACTCACTAGTACCCCATTCTTCACCTGGGGCCTAGTCGGTACTGCCGCGATGGTTTTCCTGTGCCTCCATTCCCCCTCACCGATCCGGCATGCTTTCTACGAGACCTTCCTGCATCTGCATCAGCTTGCCGCCTTCCTGGCTTTCCTCGGCGTCTACCTGCACCTGGATCTGGATAATCTTCCCCAGATCCCCTGGGCCCAGGCCATTGGCGCTATCTGGCTGTTTGAACGTTCAGCGCGGCTGCTCCGCTTGCTGTACCTCAACTTTTCACTCAAAAAGGGCACAACGAAACTGGTCGTCGAAGCGTTGCCCGGTGAGGCCTGCAAGGTGACGTTCCACCTGCCCAAGCATGTCCGCATCAACCCCGGCGGTCACGTCTTCGCCTACATCCCGAGCGTCTCCTTGTGGATGTCGCACCCCTTCTCAATCGCTTGGGTTGAACCGAACAATTGCGTGACTCCTTCAGCCGCGCCGGACAACGTCATGAGCCCCATGACCCCGTCGCTCCTGGAAAAGCAGACCGCCCTTGACCTCGATGACTACATGAGGGGCAATCAACAACCCACCTCCGTCTCCCTCATTGTTGGCGCCCGCCAAGGCATGACCCGCAAGCTCTACAACAAAGCCCTCGTCGCCCCGCGGCAGACCCTCTACACCACAGGCTACATCGAGGGCCCCTACTCTTCCCTGGCCTCCAACATGGGCAGCTACGGCACAGCCGTCCTCTTCTCCGCCGGCGCCGGCATCACACATCACATGCTCTTCGTGCGCGACCTCATCATCCGCGCCGCCGAGGGCCGCGTCGCAACGCAGCAGATCTACCTCATCTGGTCCGTCCGCAACACCGAACACCTCACCTGGGTCCGCGACTGGATGGACCAGATCCTCCGTCTCCCCGGCCGCCGCGAGATCCTCACCGTCAAACTCTTCGTCTCCAAACCCAAGAGCAGTCGTGAGATCGTCTCCCCCAGCGCCACGGTGCAGATGTTCCCGGGCCGCTGCCGCCCCGACGTCGTCTTGAACGAAGTCATCCCCAAACGGGTCGGCGCGACCATCGTCTCCGTGTGTGGGCCGGGCGCCTTTGCAGATGAGGTGCGCGCTGCGGCGCGAAACAACATCGGGAAGGGCGCGGTGGTCGATTTTGTCGAGGAGGCGTTCACATGGTAGAGCTCTAGCCTCAGCTCCAGTTCCAGTTCCAGCTCCAGCTCCATGATGACGGCCGCACGCCATTGGCAGACTGCCCAGTCAAAGAAGTCTAACAGTTGGAGGGGTGGATGGCGCTTTGTGCTGCCACCTCGGAGGTTCCAGGTACTCTACTGGGAAGGCAGTGACGTGCTCCTCCCCATGGCATCCAGTCGAGGTCAGCTGTGTGGCGGACCTTCCTGGCCGTATGTATAGGGGTGCAATAGAGGACGAGTGCTTTGTGTGCATCCAGCCTCATTTAAAGGTTAACGCGTAGATGTTCGATGCTCTCCTTGTACGAGCCGTCAATTCGTTTCTTTTTCTTTCATTTCTTTCTCACTGTCCAAAATCTTTTTACCTTCTTACCTATCTTTGTACATTAATTTCAGATTCCTTGTGATTATTCTCTCATTTATTTGCCCCCTGGTTTGATACAAGTTGTCTGGCAGTATCTTTGTGACCTGGAGCCGTCTCATACGCAGTCGGCTTACTGCCTTGAAACACAAACTCCGGAGGACATACCTATTGATCTACATACACCAATTCAGGATCCTAACAGCATACTTAAGAAACTTCATATAAACTAGACAAGCTTGACATTCTGTCTATATATTGTGTCACTGCTGAAAAGTGTCCGCAGCAAACTAAAATTAAATACCTGAAAGGAGAAGAGAGCATAGTCAAGGTCGGTATGTCCAAAGAAGCAAAGGAGAGCAAAAGGTATGTGCAAGTGTCTAAGCGTG